ATGCTAAATTCATCTACCTCTGTAACATGTTTAACAACTGCAGGACAGTCATATGCAGATGCATAAACGTGAATGTAGGCTAAAATGAAAACAGTAAAGATTTTTTTTCCTCTGAGTAAAAGTACAGGTTCTCAATTCTAGTCTTGTCTGCTAGTCTAACGTGTCTTAAGAGGTGAAAGTGGTGTGTCTGAGCCGACTGAAGAGCAGAGAGAGGAAAACTCACACGACCCATATGCCGGTGATGGTGAGGGCAGGGAGGCTGACGGGTAAAATCATCCAGAGGGACATCGTCTCCACCCGGCTCTCCTCAGCAGCAGCCACGCCGCACAGCTCCGCTTCTTTCTTCGCCTTCGCCAGCCTGTCACCCTCTGCTCATCAATTTGCATTTAAGGTCTTGGCACGAACCCCAAAGCGTTCATTTCCGAGCAGACCATTACTGTACCTGGAGCAGAAAAAGAGCACGGAGGTAAGAAGAAGAAGAAGAAAAAGGTGAAGCGCTTACTAACGCTGAGATAACGTATACCTCGCGTTTTGCCCTTATTTCTTTTTTGGCTAAGTTACATTCGAGTGTGACGGAGAAGCGGCTCGGACTCCGTTATCGTTGGCCTCCTAAAGGTAGAGACGTGAACTTTCCAAACACTTTTCCCAGCAAAATGGCTGAACGGACCAGCGGCAACAACTTCTGAACAGCCGCACAGAGGTAGCTAGCTCCGGTAGCATATCAGCTCCAGGTCCTTCGTTATCTTACCTTCCCCCCTCTGATGAGGGACAGTAGTAGCCTCTCTCTCTCTCTCTCCCACCTTTTGTTATTCTCCCAATCTTGAGCACCGCAGACTGGCCGGTGTCTGAGAGACTACAGCCTCCTCCGTCTGCCAGCGCACACCTCCGACTGCAGCAGGAATTCTGAACCGCCCAGCAAGTCGGTCTTTTTTCCTCAGAAGTGTGTTTTTCTGGGTGTCTGTCTCTCCGGGCTCGTGTGTTAGCGTAGCCCTGCTGTGTTGGGCTGGCTGCTCTGTGGCGCTGCTGGGTTAAAATCAGACAGCTGGAGCTGCTCCTCCCCCTCCCTGCTCACTGCTGCACCTCCAAACACCACCAGCACACCAGCTTCTCCTTAACATCACTCCAGCTTCACTGTCTTCTGCTGAGAGTTTCACACACTGGCCATGCTTATCCATATTTAGCTGTTAGAGGTCAAACTGTAAAAGGGGGGTGGGAGGTTCAGGCTACTGGGTAAGATAGATAACATAAGATCAGATAACACACATATTCTAATGATCTTGGTCAGTCCTTTAGTGTCCTTCGCTGTAATACTGCTGTAGTGGGTGTTATGAACTGTGACTATACCCAGGGGAAAAACGTATTTCTTGAGATTGTCTGAAAGAGATAAAGCAGATGTCAATACTGTATTAATGCAGGATCACTCATTTCTGAATTCTCTCTCCTATACCTCCCTTAAGAGAAAAGAGGAGATGAACATTTCATTGTAAGACGTTCTGGTGAACAGTGAGAAAGGCCTGAGATCATCTACACTGATAAACTGCTGAAAGTTCTGTGATATAGAGCTATATAAGAAGACGATGAGGTATTAGACTTTTCTTATGGAAATATTTTTCCATTTAGACGGGGATGAGATGTGTCAGACACAAAAGAGTTCATCCATATGTGTGAGAATATTTTGATCAAAGTGAGAAAATCTTGGGGTTATTTCTCAGGAAATGGGAGAAAGTGGCTTAGGACCATGTTTAAGAGAAGTACATGAGAAAAAGAGCAGATCTCATTTAGAATATTTCTCTCCTCTGGGCGTGTTTATTTTTTTGTATCATTTGTTCATACAGAATAACATACACTCACTAGCCAGTCTAGTAGGTACCTTTCATCCACACATTTTATCAGGCCTGCCTACCATATATGCACATTTTGTAGGTCTACAATTGAAGGGTTTGATTCCAACAAACATTGTAGACCATTTTCAAGAATTATCTTACAGAATTGTTCATGATATGCACTGTTGGGAGGGGCTTTACACACACAAATGCTATATTATGATTGATACCACCTTTATTAGGGGAATAAATGTGTTTCCATCATACGTCAGCTGTTATTGTTTTTAAAAACCTGTTATATTCAAAATGGCTTCAAATGGATATACAGCATTTTGGAATGATGGGATTGAATGGATTGTAAACAGATTGTAGTCCATCTGTTCATCTGCATAATGCGTTAGCTCCCCCTTTAACCTATTCATCAAAGGTCAGGCCCTCTACTGAGCAGGTATTATTGGGGTGGTGGACCACTCACAGAACAGCAGTAGCACTGACACGGTCATTGTACTGATCCAGTGCGAAAAAGTGCATGAGTTTTTAAACACTAACAGACGTCAGTAGATTTATACAGTGTTTTAAAACCTCCTGCAACAGTGCAGTTCTGAGAATTGTCCACCACTCAGATAACACCTGCTCAGTGGGGGGCCTGTGGAAGTCCCGACCATTGATGAATGGGGTAAAGGGGGGTGGGGGCTAACAAATTATGCATAGAAACAGAGGGACTATAATATATAATTGTAGAGCTAGAAAGTGGACCTGATAAAATGGACAATAAGTGTAGATACAAGGTATGTAATAAGGTGGCCAGTGAGTGTACAAAACGCTCTACATTTCTAATTTGTAGAATTGTGGGAGTAGCAGTTTACCAAGGTGGTATTTTTTTGTCTTTTGGAACTGGGGGGTGGGGGGTGATGATATCATCGCTGTCCAATTAAAACCATGTATCTCCATTTTTGTTGATTTTTAGTTTTCTACATCATTTCAACACACCAGATGAATGGACCAATAGAAATGCTCTAACTTTGAACTTTACATTGACTTAAATTGAAAAGTAAGAGTGTTTTTGCCTTCTCCTGTAAAGTTAATATTTCGGACATACTTGTTTTTCATTGGACATCGACGAGATGCTCTCAAGTGAATTTGAATAAATTATCAAATATAACTTTTCATTTTAAGTTGATGCTTTTTGAACTATACTAAACCAAAATGAGGCTTTTGCTGGAAGTGTGCATGAAGACACTGCAAGTAGAGAATTAGTTTAATTGTTGTTGACTTTATCCTTGAATGTGTGAAAATCACTAATATAAGGTAATTCAGAGGAGCACTTTATGGCGAACTGTTCTGTTCTCTTTTGAAGAGTTGTAGAATCTAGAGACTCCCAGGTACCATTGGTATGCCTTTGTATGCTGCATGAAAATGAAATTTGTGCAGATCATTCATAATGCCTTTCCATGTCAGTGTAGAGGAAAAACACATAAATGGTTTTGAAGAATCACAGTCACTGAGCTTTTAAACTCTGTTATGATGCATTCTTTTGTGTTCTCTCTGCAGATCTGAAAAGGGACGCAAACAACTTGCTGGAAAAGCAAAATACAATGCAATTAATTTAATTGAGGAACAAACTTGAGTGGTTTCTCAAATCAGCAGTTTCTGTTTTAGTTCTCATGTAAAATGTCTTAATGTTATGTTGTACATGCAGAGATGTTATCCCCGTAACCAGATCTCTAAATGAACAATATTTCTATTCACAGAAAACGAGACTGTGTGTAATTATACTCAGACTGGCTCCTACAAACATGTGAGACATAGTTCTCCGCATTAGCATGACTGAACTTAATCTGAGAGTTAAAAAATGCTAAACGTAAGGTTAAATTGTTTTAAATGGTCTGCATTTCCTGTCTGCGTGCAGAGTTATTTGGTCACAGATCTGCTTCAAAAGCTTCACACATTCACATGTATGACGTAAGAGCCAATGTCTGCAGTTTCATCCACAAAGATGATTCTGTACTTCACAGGACTGTACACCAGAATATATATTTGTAGCTAGTTTCATTTTGACAGCTCTACATTTTGAAAAATGTTGCTTTATGCTTCACTATATACTTCCTTTTCAGGCGTTTTGAAATTTGTGGGAACATCTTATTTAGTTGGGTGGCTGAGTTTTTTACACTTACATAATTTTACATTTTTACAATAAATACAGCACTTAAGTTTGTTTTACTCAGCTAAGTACTGACTCAGGATTTCTGCCGCTCATAGGAATTCGACAAATGGTAAAGTCTACCAGATCTTCTTGAAATGAGATATAGCAGTCTGGGTAATCTGTAAACAAATCATATTTGAGTTTCATAAATAGTTTGTCTAGAAATATTAAACCTTTTCATAAGCATGATTTCTAACATTCAGTCAATTTCAGATTGTTTATATTTATAAGCGTGTCCTTCATCACTGAATGTCCAAAGTTCAGTATAACCACCTCTGAACAATATCAAGGAACTATTACTTAGTACATTTAATTTATTATTATTATTATTATTACTATTATTATTATTATTATTATTAATGTTGTGAATGTTACGCCATAGTTCTGTGGCATGTAGCTGTCTGAAGCTGAATAAAAGTGACAGTCTTCATGCCACAGTCAGTTGCATCCCTTACTGACAATTTAAGTATGTTGAAGCCTAAAATTAGAAAGAAAAAGAAGAAATTTGTTGAATTGGATTAAAAAAAAGACAAACCAAATCAGAAAGGCGGTCTTTATTTGTTTATTTATTTATTTTTAATTTAGTAACAAAAAGATGGAATTACTCCACCTAGTGGATTGGTGTAGTTGTAGCACCATTGTCCCTCAACCATTTAGTCATTTCTCCCTTTCACTTTATGTCAATCAGTTTCATCGGTAGAATTGAAAGCTTTTAAATAAGCACAATCATAGAAATAGAAAAACACATTCTCTACAGACAAGAAAACTGAAATATGCCACTTTTGCACAATTCTATGCACAATTTCAAATTGATTTGCTGAGTTTAACATACTAGAAATAAATTAAACTTTTGTGCAGGCCACATTTTATGTTTTGTTGTTTGTCTAATATGTTAAATTCAGCAAATAAACAGTAATTGTGCATTAACATGTGCAGAAGTGTCTTCTCTGTAGAAGATGTAAACCTATTTTCACTTCTAGCATGTCATTTGACCAGGAGCACCCAAACATTTGCATACAACTGTAGGTCCTTTGGTTAAATGACCAAAAAAAGAGACCTTATACTCTTAGAAATAAGGGTACCAAGAATGATTTCTTGGAATGATGCCAGAAAAGAACCACTTTTGGTTCCAAATAAACCTTCAAATGGACAGTTCTTTAAAGAAGTGTTATTGTAAATGAGATGTAGGAGTGTGAAGAATCTTTTTAAAGTATAAATAATGTCTATGATGTAATGTTTCTATACCATTATAAAGTGTTCTTCTAAAACCTCCAAGTCAAAAAAGCCATAAAAGAACCCTTATTTTTAAGAATGTATGCGACTCTTTTATAGTATCTTTACAGTAGTTCCAAAACCCCAGACTCCAAACCCTGCGTAGAGTGGCTGAGTGAATGAGGTGTTCACCCTGTGGAGAAGAGTCATTGTGTCTGACACGCTGTAAAAGGCCAGCGTTCCAGCCTTGTGGTCTAAATACACTGCTATTCTGGATGAAGTGGGCACTGGTAGAGTGGTGCTTTTGTTGTTGTGCATGAAGGAGTATTTGGACTCAGAGCAGTACAGGCTCCAAGATTTATCGTTCCATCCGAAGCTGCAGATGTTGTCGCTGCCTTTCCTGCTAACTGCCTTGTAAGTCAGAGCAATGTCAATCTCTGTACCGCTCCAGTTCACCTCCCAGTAGTACCGGCTGCCAGACAAGCTCTCCCTGCACAGCACCTGCTGCCAGTGGTCAAACCGCTCAGGTGGTTAGGGTAATGCTTGGGGTCACTGCTCATGTGCACCACTGTGTTCCCCTCAGCCAGGTGCAGGTTAGGGTGAACTGTTAAAGGATCCAGTGAAAGGTGACAGGAATCTGCACAGAAAACAGGATAAAATCAACCTGCAGTTCGACTTTATACATTCTAATGTAAATGTGCTTGGATACTTGCACTATTTATCCAAACGTATCTACACTCTACTTAAAGGAATGACTCACAGAAAAATCAGCTTTACACTGTTTTCTTCTTACTCCAAATGTAGTTGATCAGTCAAGACATATTTTGTGTCAGAAGTTTTCTTCTTTCGTTTTGTACTGGAGCTAATATAGGCTAATATAACAAATAATGAAAGTCTGTGTCACCCAAAACCTTTTTTTTACATAGACTTCTGTTATATTAGCCTCATAGCACCAGGACAAAACAAAAGATGCAAACTTTGGACACCAAATATATCTTGACTGGTTAGCTTCTTTTGTGGTAAGAAGAACATTTCTTCAAAGAAAAACTTCTTTAAGGTGGACTCTGACACGAGAGTTCAATTGCGCACACATAGTTTGCATCTACATAGAAAAGCACTCATAATAGAATGGAATGGTCTGAAGCAGCTGCACATGAGTCTAAGACCACCATGCCCAATGTCAAGTGTAGACTAGAAAGGTATAAAGCCCCCAGCACTTGGCTGTTGAGCAGTGGAATCGTGTTCTCTAGAGTGACAGAGCACCATCCAATACTTTTGGGATGAATTACAGCAGTGTTTGTGATGCAGAACTAATCATCCAAGGTCAGTGGCTGACCTTACTAATTCTCTTGAATACAGTCAAATCCTCCCAGCAATGTTTCAATATTCATAGTAAAGCCTTCTCAGAGGAGAAGAGGCTGTCACTGTGGAAACTCCGTATTAATTCCCTTTCAGAAGAAATATTAGATGAGCAGGTGTCTACAAATTTTTGAAAATTGGTATAAATACATTTCCTTGTGAATTAAAGATTCTAAATCTGTTTTCAGAAGTTTGTTTGTATCAGAAGTTTAAGACTGAGCCTTTCAACACTTTCAAAAAAGGGGTTCCTTAATCATTCTTGGCTTGACTGTATGGTTCTAGATAAAACATTAACTGGTATTAAACCTTTACATTATTTTTAGTTTTTTAACCTTTGAAAAGGTTCTTCACACTCACAACCCTGCAAAAAAAGGACGATTTGAAATCTTAGGATTAGGATTAAAACGTTTTTTCTTTCTAATGAGAATTGGCTTAATGGTTTGCAACGGAGACCACTAGTAATGGTTTTTATGGGTTTATAGGGAAGTCATTCACAAAAATGATCCCTTAAACAACCATCCATTGCATGGGAACCAAAAGTGGTTCTTCTGTGGTCCTACAACATGTCTTGTCTTGTCTGTTCAGAATTTGATTTACTGTAAAGTGATAGGAGCTACAAGTAACCTTGAATTCTATCCAGCAGTATTTTGCCTAGGCATGTGCAAGACCAGATGTTTTTTTCCTTTTTTACTGTGTTTCAAATATGTTAAATCATATAACCTTGGAGATGAATCTGTTGTCATGGCAAATGGCATCAATCAGTTTGTATGCTGATAAAAACAGATTCAGACATTCACATGGATGAGGTCTAAATGGAGGCAACAATAACGCTTTTGTATCATTGCTGAGGTCTTACGCATAGTCAGTAGGTCATGTTTTCACTTCTGTAGGCTGGATGAGTGACAGCTTTATTGCATTGAGATCTTCCTGCAGAATGGAAACTTTTGCCTGTAAACCTGTTCTGCAAACTGGAACTGCAGCTTCACTCACCTTTCATACAGTGTGTGTATTAATCAGGCCTGAGGTTTTAAGATCTTATTCTTTGGTTACTGTACAGATATATGGAAGTGTAGTCTTTGGTCAGTCTGGTGAATGAATTGTGGTGGTGATGTGGTGAAAAAAGCAACTTACACTGTAAAAAGTCTTCTCTTGTTTTTGGTTCCAGAGCGTGCAGAATTTGAACTTCCCTTACTGGAAAGAAAATGCAAAGTCACAAAAACAGGACATGAGGTAAGCTCAATCATCTGATAACAATAGAGGATTATAGGAATATCTATACCACGTATCTATACTTTACTGACCTGCAGATGAGATCTTGCTCAGTTCATCCTTACTTACGTCCTCTAACTGCACTTTAAGCTCCGAGATGGCTTTCTTTGCTTTGTCAAAAGAGTGCTGTTGGGCCAGTGTCACCTTGGACAGGTCTTCATACCCTGAGGGTGCAGAGAGAGACTGCCAGCTCTGTGGCCAGAGAAGAAAATTCATTTAGTCATAATTAGGTAGTTAACATAACATTAGTTATGTTACAAAATCATTATCAGATCACATTATTGTCAATGAATAATTTCATTAACTTATATTTCATGATCATTTCATACAAAATCATTATTATACGCATCCTTTTCGTTAAATGTCTGTCACAGTCATGTTTTTCAGTGGTCTTTTTATGCCATCTACCTGTAGGAAATGGATATGATCATCAGAGTGTGACAGCTTCTCCAGATCGTTGTGCTTCATCCTAAGCAGAGTGATCTCCTCCTCCATTCGATCCAGGTGTCTCTCTGCCTGAGTCATCAGAGCTGCCTCCTGAGCTCTAATCATCTCCTTCACGTCTGTATATCTCCTCTCCAGTGCTCGCATCAGCTCAGTGAAGATCCTCTCGTTCTCCTCCAGCACATTCTGAGATGAGTGCTGTGGAAAAACAGCAGAGGAGAGTGCGTCTGACCTACAGCTTACGTGAGCTGTGGACACATTATGGCAGAGAAGAGTAAAAAAAAGAAGTATGGGGTGTCTGCTTCTCTCCAACCATTAAGGCCCCACCTTTAGAGACTCCGCCGCCTGCCTCAGATCCTGCCACTTCTTCACTCTCTCATCAATCTTCTGCTGAGAGGCCATCAGCTTAGTCCCGAGCTGTTTCTGCAGGAGTGCACCAAAAAAATCACCCCTTAGCCCAAATGCTAAAGACATATTTCATGTCTGAAGTTTGCTTCTTTAGTTTTGCAGTGGATAACCACAGATTAGTGTCATGCAAACAACTGCATTCCTAAATCATCACACACTTCACTCGTGTTTCATTGTTAATTTTAAATTTGAAGGGGAATTCTACAGATTTTTGAAAAAGAAATCAGCATAATTAAATCGTTAAGCTGTAAACAAAGTAATTCAGAGTGGTTTGATGTGAAATGCTCCATTGAAGAGTTTGAAGAGTGTAATGCCTCTAAATGCTACATCACAGAAAGCTATTACATGAAATTGTCACAAATGCCTGAGTCATTGTTTTACAATAGCTTTGAGATAATTGAGATGCTGTTTCGACATTTTTAAAAATCCATTCATGGTGGAGAGACATGTAGGGTGTTGTTAGGCAAAGTAGTCCACCAAAAACTTTTTTTTTCAGATTTAACCACTACTTTATAATCAGTATCATTACATATTACGGTAACACTTATTTTGGATGGTCCACTGTCGATGCTTTGTAGATGCTCAATCTATCTTTAACAAACACTTAATTAAATATCTACTAAATGCAACTGAACTTGAAATTGCTTGTGAAAGATTATATTAAATCTGTCCCTAAGCCTAAACTTAACCCTAACCTTAACCTCAAGGCAAAACCTACACCTACTCCTAAGCCTGACCGTAACCTTAATGTTGTTGATAATCAACTGAGTATCACCAGATAGTTTGTTAAAAATATGAGTATCTGTAGATCATCAACAGGGGACCATCCAAATAAAGTGTGAGCCATATTACAAGCAAGAAGACACGTGTGGGTTCACTGGTGGTTAGTAAAATGGCTATTTTCACACTGTAAACATCATGACCCCTAGTTTCTATCATCACTATCGAGAATTCTAACTTCTCTACAATGTACGATTTTACATCAAACCACCCTAAATGACTTTACATCAGAAACAACTGAATGCAGAAAGTCCAACAAAATTCTGTGTGGTTCCCTGTCAAAGCTATGTGCCATAATAATTTCTAAAGAGGTAAAAGCAGATACAGAGACAAATAACCAAAGAAACATGTGCAAGCCTTGTTTGAAATAGTACTGGAGGTGCGTGGCTCAGGTAATGTCAACTAATAGGCTAATAATCTCAAACAGACTTTCTTATGTGTTTTCTGATACTGTACACATACTGTTTTACATAAAAGTGGACAAAATTAGGTTACATAGCTAATGGTAGTAACAGCCATCTTGATGCCTGAATGTTGTGCTACTTTTGTAAATTTTGTGTCTGCTGTGATTTAGTCCTGCAAGTTTACATAATGCTAATTGTTGCTATAAATTTGCATTACTTGTTATTTACTAGCCGCATAGCTGCAGTACAAAACTGACGAAGCAGACTTTGAACATTATACATGTCTTGGCTGATATACTACATTTGGGGTGAGAGGACAATTGTAAACATTTGATTTTTCAAATGAACTAGCAACCATTTATATAAGGTTGGGGAAGCCACTACAATATCAAAATCACTTATACAATTCAAGTTTAAGCTATATGGCTTTTTAACTCGGTGCAGTTACACCGACATCTTTAAAGGGTCCATAACTTGGAATAACACATTTACCTCACTTTTTTAAAAGAAGGGAGCTTGATGTAGTGTAGAAATACTGTATAAGTTTTTCAAAAAACATTTCAGTCACTCCCCAGTCCGCATGAAAACTAAGCTGCAGAAACTATTTTGAATTTAGTGTTTTTGTGATGTCACACAAACATTTACATTACACATCTGCCTATTCAGCCTATAGCAATTCAGCTCCACCCACTCACACTGGAATTACAAGGAGTGATTCAATGAGGCACAATATTGGCCAGTCAATCAGAACAGAGCTCATTTACATACATCAGTCTTAAAGGCACAATAACAAGAATAATGTTAATTCAGTGTTAATTCTTAGGGTTAATGACAGGTTGGAAAATGACTGTTTTTGGCACGTAAAGCCACACAAACATTATAAGTGAACCTCAAGGAAAAAAGATAAAATAAAAGAAATATGTAGGATATGGGCCCTTTAAGACTGTGTCTATTGTAGGGAACATAATGAATGTTTTACCACCTCATGTACAGGAAGGTAGTATGGAAGTGAGTTAAAAACATGTCTGACCTGCTTCTCTGTCCTCTCGGCTGCAGCAGAGACGATGTCATGTTTCTTGTGTTCTTCCATGATACACAGAACGCAAACGCATGTCTGGTCAGAGCGGCAGAAGACTTCCAGCAGTTTGTCATGTTCGGCGCAGATCTTCTCCCTCAGCTGCCCCGTTGCTGTAACCAGCTTATGCTTCATCAGTGCTGGGTATTCGTAGTGGGCCTGCAGGTGGGTCTCACAGAACGAGGTCAGGCATGTAAGACAGGACTTCACAGCCTTCATCTTCTTGGCCAGGCAGAAGTCACACAGGACATTCCGCTGACCGTCCCAGCTGCTGGGTCTTGGGTTGCTGTACCTGCCATATGATTCACTTCTCTGAGACTTCCCTGTTGTGCTGTACCGGCCCTGGTCAGCCACACTACTCCGGCGAGACATTCTGTTGCTCCCACAGAGCAAAGCCACAGGCAAGGTCTCTGTGTGCTGTCTAGTTTCAGTGAAACTGTTGTGTCACAGCCTTATATGGGGGAATGTGAGCAATGAGTGAACTCTAGGATAAACCAGTATGCCTTGTTGCCTTGGGGAAAAAAACTGGAGGGGTGTGGCAGATGACGAAAAGTGACTTTGGCTCAGACTGAAGGTTTGAAGGGTGGAGGAGAAAAACATGCCACAGTTCCATATAAGGGTAACTGGTTGGTAGTGATCGAAAGAGAAGTAAACATGTGGTTTTCATGTTCAAAATGTTGGTAATGCAGCAAACCTGGGAACTGAAGAAATGCCAGGCTGTTTAAGAGCTGGAAAAAACTACAGGGAACTTTTCTCTTAGAAAGAATGACTGTATCAGATCTTTGAATATATAGCTAATTGTTGGATTTGTTTAAAAATGAACAAAATTGTGAATTTTCACATAACGTAGCTCAGCAGGCTTGGCAGCTGGTTGGTGTGGGGTGTGGGGGGCTGTCTGTATTGCGGTTCTGTCTTTTTGTATTACGGTTTGTATCGCAGACATTTGTATAGCAGTTTCAGTCTCGGTTTCATTATCGTAGCAACTCTTCGAAATAAGAAAGTCCCCTGAAGGAAGTCTCTTTGAATTCAGCTGTTGCAGTTTTAATTTGTGACAATCCATCTAGACGCCTTTGTACAGATCAGGAGAAGTTCTCCAATTGTATTGCAATGCTGCCTCATCAGAGAATTGCTACTTTAACTGAAATATCAGTTTCAAAGTCTTTTTTCCAGTACTGCAAATAATACTGCCAAATATCATTGTTTACAAAGCAATACTACCAAATAAATTAAATAATTAAATAAGCTGCTGAAAGTACAAAAGTGGAGTAGATCGAATAGTTCACTGCCTTTCACCACTGCTTATTAGGATCAGCAATACTTAATTTGTTCAGTATATCTATGTTTCAAGATGAAAAGCAATGAGAATAGCATTCATGTAAACAAATGCAAAAATTAGATGTACTTATGAAATATTTTGCCACCTTGGACAATGACCGTTTTAAGACATAACAGCCTTCCTGAGCCGAATCCAGAACCTCATGTTACTGATGGGGTTCCCACTCCACTTCAGGTAAGTGTTCTTTTTCAGGTGCTTATGGAGTCCGAACACTTTCTTGGTCTTCTCCTCCTCCACATCTTCCAGAATAATGATGATGATGTTGGCATAGCCTTGCGTCACTAACCAGGACTGAGCCACCTCAAACTCAAATCGGCACCAAGAGCTCTCAATGAAGTGTTTAGATATGACCACTATAATTTTACGACTGCCCATGATGCCCTCGTCTATGATGTTGGAGGTGATGGCCTTGCCTGCTTCAAAGTCCCGCACGTGGAGGCACAGATGGATGGGTGGGATCCCATTTTCCAGATTTTCCACCAGTTCATCCATCACCCAGGATTCATCTTTGCTGGAGTAGATCACAAATGCATCATAGGAACATTCTTGCTGCCTGGAGGCTCTATAACCTCTTAGCAGGACACAGCTGTACCGCAGGTAAAACTGGAACCTATAGGCCAAAACTGACGCAAACACAAACAGAAGCACAGCACACATGGACAAAACAACTGTAAGTATTTGTGCATATATGCAACTTTCAACGTCAAAATCAATGGCCCTCATTTTTGAGTCTGTTTGTAGTGTTTTGCATAAAACGTTATGAGGTTTAGGAAACATTTTCTGATGTTCGATGATCCACTGAATGAAATCTCTTTGGGTGCAGAGGCAATTGATTGGATTAAATGATATATCAAAAATGGAGAGATTTTTTGGTAGATTTTGGAGAGTATTTTGTGGAATACTTGTGATACCATTTTGGTCTAAAGCAAGTCGTGTTAGGCTCGGTAGATTTGTCTGTGCCAAAAAATCCAAAACCATTAATCTGTTTTGACTTAGAAGTAAATGCTGTAGTCTCTGGAGGTCTCTGAAATCTCTCCAGACTAATCGATCAATGCCACAGTTTGACATGTCAAGAACTTCCAAAGCGATGAGATTTTCAAATAAATATCCCTTTTCCTTCTGGAAAGCATTGCCCGCTATTTTCAGAACTTTAAGACTAGTAAGACCATAAAAAGACGAAGTACTGCCAAAAGTATTACTTGTATATGAAAGGTCTAAATATTTTAAGTACTTCAGATTTTGTAAGAGTCCAAACTGCCCCACTACGCCTATCTCTGTGTGATGAAAATCTAATACCTCAAGCAAGTCAAGACCAGAAAATGGTTTTGCAAGTAACATTATATTTGCATTCAGACTCAGATTAATGTGGCGAATGTTTGGTGTGTCTCTGAAATACTCGAAACAGCAGGATCTCAATGACATTAGGTTTCTACTCAGATCTACATGCCGGAGACTGGGCATATCTCTGAGACCTCTAAACAATACTTGATCGTTGTCAACAACAACAAATTTTTCTAAGGACTGTATGTTTGAAAGTTGGGGTATTTCCTCTAAGCCATTTTTACCTATGTAAAGTTCTTTAAGTTGACGAAATGAGACAGGTTCTATGACTCTTATACGGCCTCGTTTCAGAGTGATTTTTGTTGCATTGACCATACAGCGGAATACATGGCTGCTTAAATCTAACCATTGATTTTGGTAAAAGTAAAATTCTTCATAATTGATTAAGCAGAGACCATCAAGGTCATTAGTTTCAGTTGTCTTTGCATGGTGTGCTCTGTAGCTTCCAATGATCAGTTTGCCAACATTAAGACCAACAAGTGCTTTCAGACCATCCCTTTGTGCATCCAGTGAAATGAAGGCACTCCGTATGTTCAGCTCTCTGAGGTGAAGGTTCTGAAATGCTCCCGGTTCTATGAACAATATTGGGTTCCGTGAGAGGATTAATGTGATATTTCCCTTCATCTGTCGAAGAACATTAGTGTCATTTACTCTTAAGATGGATATGTTATTAGCATGAAGATCCAGTGAACTGAAGTCCCTGAAGTTTATCATGAAAGGTGGAAGAGCCACGGACTGAACGTTGTTAGTCCCAACGTTTAGTTCTCGAAGCTCGGTGAGATTGCTGAACTGGACATTTAAAGATGACAGGCCAGTGTCCACAAGAACTAATCTGTGTAGTTTATGTAATGAGTTCAATCCATCAAGTCCTGTATATGAGATAGGGTTTCCAGTGAGAATTAGAGTGGTCACATTCTTCACATTGTGGAAAGCATCGTCAGTAATATGATGGATATGACATCTGAAAGACCAACACATGCAAGCAGATTAGGTCCATTAATAGTAGGAGGAAAGAATACCTGTCATAGATCACACAAACAAAACTCATTTACCTTGTGAGATCTAGAAGTTTCAGATTATACAGCTGAGGGAATACAGTCCTCTGCAAGGTGGGCAAGAAATTAAAACTGAAGTCCAACATCTCCACAGAGGAAGGAATACTGGTAGGTATGTAGGTGAGATTCCTTCCTCCACAGGAATAGTGACCATTCTTTCTGATCTGTGTCAATCAAATTCATAAGATAATTACCAATCATGTTTACTGACACTAATATGTGAGTACGTTACATATTTGATAAATAAACATAGGGCATAATATTCATTGACAGACAAGACATGGTGACCATAACATCATACATCTCTATAGATCTGTAATTGAATAATATAGTGAAGCATACCTGCGTGCACCCCTCTCCATTTCCATTTTGCACAAGAATGAGAACTACGTACAGGAACATGCCTCTATCTGTACAAATGGCTGTCATATTACAGTAGGATCAGTGTTCAACAACGGTGTCTAACTGAATGTGGAACCAAATGTATGAGGAATGTGAAATAAGGAACTTACTCTGTGAAAAGCAGGGGATGTCAGCTAAAACATGACGTGATGGACAATATATTCAAACAACGCCCACAAGAATGAGGCTTTGTGATTTCCGAAACATCAGAACAAAGTCTGAAACTCCTCTTTTCTACCTACACCCTACAAAATAAAGGAGCCCAAAAGGGTTCTTTGAAGCGATGCCATAAAAGAAACACTGTGGTTCCCTAATGAAATTTTTAGTGAATGGTTCTTGAAAAAAAACATTTTTGTAAAAGAGATGAGTGTGAAGAACCTTTTTAAAGTTGAAGAACCTCAATGTGATGTAAATGTTCTGTATCAATTAATGTTTTTTTCTTTGAACTCTGTCCAAAGTGAAATAAACATTTAAAAAATGTAGGAACTTTTATTTTAAAAGAAATTGTCTCACACTAATCTCTCCCAATCACTGCTCTTCCATTGCAGTCTCTTTCAGCTCTCCTCCACCTCACCTTTTGTCATGATCATTGTTACTGTTGTCTTTTTTATTTAAGGCAGAAGGAGAAGGACTAGACATTAGATCATACTGACTACCACTCTAGAGTTCCAAAGCAAGTTACTTCTAGTTTTCTTTACTCAATTCTCTCTGTATACTAACCTTTCTTTAGTGAATTTCTTTAATTTGAATTGAGTTCATAGAAAGTTATTACATAAAGTGATTACGAATACACTGCCTGATGGCTAAGACATTGTTTTAGGTTTGTTTTTAGATGTTTTTACCTAAAATGTATGGTTTTTAATATCTATTTCTGGAGGAGTGATATATGCAGGGCTTTGTAAGATAAAATGGTCCCCAAAGAAATCTTTGTTTCTTTAGATTTATTGCTATTTTACCATTATCAATATTATATATATAAACTCAAAAGACTTGTGTAGGTTTGCTGGTGTTTTTGGATTGTAAAAAATGGCTATATTTGTGTTTTTGTAGACATTGTGACCCCAAGTTCCCATCTCGACTGTAAAGAAATCAGAGTTGGCGAGTTTCTCTAGAATGTTTCTTTTTACATAAAACCACTTTGAATGACGTTGTTGACATCTCAGCAGTTGAATTATACAGTTTTTGAAAAATCAGTGGAATTCCCCTTTAATCTTGTGTTTCTTTTAATTGTGTCATGCTTTGCATGTTATATTTTGCACCTTAACTCTTAAAACACACCATTTTGTTTTGCTGTATGTCTACATGTGGTTGGAATGATACATAAATAAGTCTAATAAGTGTAAAGCTTGCATGTCATAGGTCATTGTGGGCTCCACCAAACCAGTCTGTGACCTACATCAGTAGATTATTCACACAGTAAAAAATTTAGTAATCTAATTCGGTTAATAGCAGGAAAATTAAATCATAAAAAAAGAACATTTGTATCTCGTTGACAATCATGAGATCCACGTTTGTACTTTCTGTATATATGCATATGTATGCTTACCGCTTATTCTGTTTCCAAAAACACAGTTATGGACATAGAAGTGGAATTAGACTGCTTTATTTTAAAATTGAGAGTTTTATACTATCTGCAGTTCTGTTCCGTTAAATGTTGTCACCAATTCATTAACACAATGACACAATGAGATGTGCACGTCAATTTCTCATCATAACAGCCTTCCTGAGCCGAATCCAGAACCTCATGTTACTGATGGGTTTCCCGCTCCACTTCAGGTAAGTGTTCTTTTTCAGGTGCTTATGGAGTCCGAACACTTTCTTGGTCTTCTCCTCCTCCACATCCTCCAGAATAATGATGATGATGTTGGCATTGCCTTGCGTCACTAACCAGGACTGAGCCACCTCAAACTCAAATCGGCACCAAGAGCTCTCAATGAAGTGTTTAGATATGACCACTATAATTTTACGACTGCCCATGATGCCCTCGTCTATGATGTTGGAGGTGATGGCCTTGCCTGCTTCAAAGTCCCGCACGTGGAGGCACAGATGGATGGGTGGGATCCCATTTTCCAGATTTTCCACCAGTTCATCCATCACCCAGGATTCATCTTTGCTGGAGTAGATCACAAACGCATCATAGGAACATTCTTGCTGTCTGGAGGCTCTATAACCTCTTAGCAGGACACAGCTGTACCGCAGGTAAAACTGGAACCTATAGGCCAAAACTGACGCAAACACAAACAGAAGCACAGCGCACATGGACAAAACAACTGTAAGTATTTGTGCATGTATGCAACTTTCAACGTCAAAATCAATGGCCCTCATTTTTGAGTCTGTTTGTAGTGTTTTGCATAAAACGTTATGAGGTTTAGGAAACATTTTCTGATGTTCGATGATCCACTGAATGAAATCTCTTTGGGTGCAGAGGCAATTGATTGGATTAAATGATATATCAAAAATGGAGAGATTTTTTGGTAGATTTTGGAGAGTATTTTGTGGAATACTTGTGATACCATTTTGGTCTAAAGCAAGTCGTGTTAGGCTCGGTAGATTTGTCTGTGCCAAAAAATCCAAAACCATTAATCTGTTTTGACTTAGAAGTAAATGCTGTAGTCTCTGGAGGTCTCTGAAATCTCTCCAGACTAATCGATCAATGTCACAGTTTGACATGTCAAGAACTTCCAAAGCGATGAGATTTTCAAATAAATATCCCAGTGTTTCCTTCTGGAAAGCATTGCCCGCTATTTTCAGAACTTTAAGACTAGTAAGACCATAAAAAGACGAAGTACTGCCAAAAGTATTACTTGTATATGAAAGGTCTAAATATTTTAAGTACTTCAGATTTTGTAAGAGTCCAAACTGCCCCACTACGCCTATCTCTGTGTGATGAAAATCTAATACCTCAAGCAAGTCAAGACCAGAAAATGGTTTTGCAAGTAACATTATATTTGCATTCAGACTCAGATTAATGTGGCGAATGTTTGGTGTGTCTCTGAAATACTCGAAACAGCAGGATCTCAATGACATTAGGTTTCTACTCAGATCTACATGCCGGAGACTGGGCATATCTCTGAGACCTCTAAACAATACTTGATCGTTGTCAACAACAACAAATTTTTCTAAGGACTGTATGTTTGAAAGTTGGGGTATTTCCTCTAAGCCATTTTTACCTATGTAAAGTTCTTTAAGTTGACGAAATGAGACAGGTTCTATGACTCTTATACGGCCTCGTTTCAGAGTGATTTTTGTTGCATTGACCATACAGCGGAATACATGGCTGCTTAAATCTAACCATTGATTTTGGTAAAAGTAAAATTCTTCATAATTGATTAAGCAGAGACCATCAAGGTCATTAGTTTCAGTTGTCTTTGCATGGTGTGCTCTGTAGCTTCCAATGATCAGTTTGCCAACATTAAGACCAACAAGTGCTTTCAGACCATCCCTTTGTGCATCCAGTGAAATGAAGGCACTCCGTATGTTCAGCTCTCTGAGGTGAAGGTTCTGAAATGCTCCCGGTTCTATGAACAATATTGGGTTCCGTGAGAGGATTAATGTGATATTTCCCTTCATCTGTCGAAGAACATTAGTGTCATTTACTCTTAAGATGGATATGTTATTAGCATGAAGATCCAGTGAACTGAAGTCCCTGAAGTTTATCATGAAAGGTGGAAGAGCCACGGACTGAACGTTGTTAGTCCCAACGTTTAGTTCTCGAAGCTCGGTGAGATTGCTGAACTGGACATTTAAAGATGACAGGCCAGTGTCCACAAGAACTAATCTGTGTAGTTTATGTAATGAGTTCAATCCATCAAGTCCTGTATATGAGATAGGGTTTCCAGTGAGAATTAGAGTGGTCACATTCTTCACATTGTGGAAAGCATCGTCAGTAATATGATGGATATGACATCTGAAAGACCAACACATGCAAGCAGATTAGGTCCATTAATAGTAGGAGGAAAGAATACCTGTCATAGATCACACAAACAAAACTCATTTACCTTGTGAGATCTAGAAGTTTCAGATTATACAGCTGAGGGAATACAGTCCTCTGCAAGGTGGGCAAGAAATTAAAACTGAAGTCCAACATCTCCACAGAGGAAGGAATACTGGTAGGTATGTAGGTGAGATTCCTTCCTCCACAGGAATAGTGACCATTCTTTCTGATCTGTGTCAATCAAATTCATAAGATAATTACCAATCATGTTTACTGACACTAATATGTGAGTACGTTACATATTTGATAAATAAACATAGGGCATAATATTCATTGACAGACAAGACATGGTGACCATAACATCATACATCTCTATAGATCTGTAATTGAATAATATAGTGAAGCATACCTGCGTGCACCCCTCTCCATTTCCATTTTGCACAAGAATGAGAACTACGTACAGGAACATGCCTCTATCTGTACAAATGGCTGTCATATTACAGTAGGATCAGTGTTCAACAACGGTGTCTAACTGAATGTGGAACCAAATGTATGAGGAATGTGAAATAAGGAACTTACTCTGTGAAAAGCAGGGGATGTCAGCTAAAACATGACGTGATGGACAATATATTCAAACAACGCCCACAAGAATGAGGCTTTGTGATTTCCGAAAACATCAGAACAAAGTCTGAAACTCCTCTTTTCTACCTACACCCTACAAAATAAAGGAGCCCAAAAGGGTTCTTTGAAGCGATGCCATAAAAGAAACACTGTGGTTCCCTAATGAAATTTTTAGTGAATGGTTCTTGAAAAAAAACATTTTTGTAAAAGAGATGAGTGTGAAGAACCTTTTTAAAGTTTGAAGAACCTCAATGTGATGTAAATGTTCTGTATCAATTAATGTTTTTTTCTTTGAACTCTGTCCAAAGTGAAATAAACATTTAAAAAATGTAGGAACTTTTATTTTAAAAGAAATTGTCTCACACTAATCTCTCCCAATCACTGCTCTTCCATTGCAGTCTCTTTCAGCTCTCCTCCACCTCACCTTTTGTCATGATCATTGTTACTGTTGTCTTTTTTATTTAAGGCAGAAGGAGAAGGACTAGACATTAGATCATACTGACTACCACTCTAGAGTTCCAAAGCAAGTTACTTCTAGTTTTCTTTACTCAATTCTCTCTGTATACTAACCTTTCTTTAGTGAATTTCTTTAATTTGAATTGAGTTCATAGAAAGTTATTACATAAAGTGATTACGAATACACTGCCTGATGGCTAAGACATTGTTTTAGGTTTGTTTTTAGATGTTTTTACCTAAAATGTATGGTTTTTAATATCTATTTCTGGAGGAGTGATATATGCAGGGCTTTGTAAGATAAAATGGTCCCCAAAGAAATCTTTGTTTCTTTAGATTTATTGCTATTTTACCATTATCAATATTATATATATAAACTCAAAAGACTTGTGTAGGTTTGCTGGTGTTTTTGGATTGTAAAAAATGGCTATATTTGTGTTTTTGTAGACATTGTGACCCCAAGTTCCCATCTCGACTGTAAAGAAATCAGAGTTGGCGAGTTTCTCTAGAATGTTTCTTTTTACATAAAACCACTTTGAATGACGTTGTTGACATCTCAGCAGTTGAATTATACAGTTTTTGAAAAATCAGTGGAATTCCCCTTTAATCTTGTGTTTCTTTTAATTGTGTCATGCTTTGCATGTTATATTTTGCACCTTAACTCTTAAAACACACCATTTTGTTTTGCTGTATGTCTACATGTGGTTGGAATGATACATAAATAAGTCTAATAAGTGTAAAGCTTGCATGTCATAGGTCATTGTGGGCTCCACCAAACCAGTCTGTGACCTACATCAGTAGATTATTCACACAGTAAAAAATTTAGTAATCTAATTCGGTTAATAGCAGGAAAATTAAATCATAAAAAAAGAACATTTGTATCTCGTTGACAATCATGAGATCCACGTTTGTACTTTCTGTATATATGCATATGTATGCTTACCGCTTATTCTGTTTCAAAAAACACAGTTATGGACATAGAAGTGGAATTAGACTGCTTTATTTTAAAATTGAGAGTTTTATACTATCTGCAGTTCTGTTCCGTTAAATGTTGTCACCAATTCATTAACACAATGACACAATGAGATGTGCACGTCAATTTCTCATCATAACAGCCTTCCTGAGCCGAATCCAGAACCTCATGTTACTGATGGGTTTCCCGCTCCACTTCAGGTAAGTGTTCTTTTTCAGGTGCTTATGGAGTCCGAACACTTTCTTGGTCTTCTCCTCCTCCACATCTTCCAGAATAATGATGATGATGTTGGCATTGCCTTGCATCACTAACCAGGACTGAGCCACCTCAAACTCAAATCGGCACCAAGAGCTCTCAATGAAGTGTTTAGATATGACCACTATAATTTTACGACTGCCCATGATGCCCTCGTCTATGATGTTGGAGGTGATGGCCTTGCCTGCTTCAAAGTCCCGCACGTGGAGGCACAGATGGATGGGTGGGATCCCATTTTCCAGATTTTCCACCAGTTCATCCATCACCCAGGATTCATCTTTGCTGGAGTAGATCACAAAAGCATCATAGGAACATTCTTGCTGCCTGGAGGCTCTATAACCTCTTAGCAGGACACAGCTGTACCGCAGGTAAAACTGGAACCTATAGGCCAAAACTGACAGAAACACAAGAAGAACTGCAGCACATATGGACAAAACAATTGCAAGTCTTCTGATGTGTATACAACCTTCAAAGTCAAAGTCAATGACCCTCAGTTTAGGATCTTGTGATGATATTTTACATAAAATGTCATTTGATTCGGGGAATAATCGTTGATGACCAGTGATCCACAAAATAAAATTAATTTGTGAACAGGAACAATCAATCGAATTAAATGATAAATCAAAAACTGAGAGATTCATTGGCAGATTTTGTAGGATATTTAGTGCAATGCTAGCAATGTTATTTGTGTGCACTTCAAATACTCTTAAACCTTTTAGATTAGGATGGGTTAAGAAATCCAAAACCATCAGTCTATTTTGATTAAGAACTAAATGCTTTAGTCTCGGGAGACCATTAAATGTTTTCCAGGCTATACTCTCAATCTTACAGTCTGAGATGTCAAGTAATTCCATAAATGTGAGATTTTGGAATAAATAAGTGAGTGCATCTCCTTGGATATTGATGCCTGCCATTTTTAGTACTTTTAGTTTGCTTAGATAACCAAATGTCATTGTGCTCCTAAAAGTAGCATCTGAATATGAAATATCCAGAAATTGTAAATAGGGGAGGTTTTTAAAAAGTTCAAATTGCACAGTTAGTCCACTTAACCTTGTGAGGTGTAAATCCAAAACCTCCAAGGAGGTAAGTCCAGAAAATGGATCTTTGTTCAAAGTTACGTCTATATTTACACTCAGGTTAAGGCTACGAAGGTTTGGCATCCCTCTGAAATACTCTGAACAGCAGCGCGATAGACTCATTTTGCCTCCGCTCAGATTTACATGCTGGAGTTTGGGCATGTCACTGAGACCCTTAAAGAATGTGTACTTATTCTCAAGAACCACAAGTTTTTCTAAAGAATGTAGATGTGAAAGCTTCAGGTTCATGGGTACATCGTTGTAACCTATAAAGAGCTCTTTAATGTGCTGAAACGGAATGTTTTCTATTGTTCTTATAATGCCTCGTTCAATTTTAATCTTTGTTGCATTGACAATACAATGGGTGTCAGAAGCTGACCAACCAAGTCTGAGAAATTCTATCTCTTTGAAATTGATCATACAGAGACCATCAAGGTAAATGCCCTCAGGTGTCCCTACATTGCCCTCTCTGTAGTTTCCAATGATCAGTTTGCCAACATTAAGACCAACAAGTGCTTTCAGACCATCCCTTAGTGCATCGAGTGAAACGAAGGCACTCCGTATGTTCAGCTCTCTGAGGTGAAGGTTCTGAAATGCTCCCGGTTCTATGTATAATATCGGGTTCCGTGAGAGGATTAATGTGATATTTCCCTTCATCTGTCGAAGAACATTAGTGTCATTTACTCTTAAGATGGATATGTTATTAGCATGAAGATCCAGTGAACTGAAGTCCCTGAAGTTTATCATGAAAGGTGGAAGAGCCACGGACTGAACGTTGTTAGTCCCAACGTTTAGTTCTCGAAGCTCGGTGAGATTGCTGAACTGGACATTTAAAGATGACAGGCCAGTGTCCACAAGAACTAATCTGTGTAGTTTATGTAATGAGTTCAATCCATCAAGTCCTGTATATGAGACAGGGTTTCCAGTGAGAATTAGAGTGGTCACATTCTTCACATTGTGGAAAGCATCGTCAGTAATATGATGGATATGACATCTGAAAGACCAACACATGCAAGCAGATTAGGTCCATTAATAGAAGAAGGAAAGAATACCTGTCATAGGTCACACAAACAAAACTCATTTACCTTGTGAGATCTAGAAGTTTCAGATTATACAGCTGAGGGAATACAGTCCTCTGCAAGGTGGGCAAGAAATTAAAACTGAAGTCCAACATCTCCACAGAGGAAGGAATACTGGTAGGTATGTAGGTGAGATTCCTTCCTCCACACAAGTAGTGACCATTCTTTCTAATCTGTCAATCAAAAATATATAATAATTACTAATACTGTTTGCTGACTCCCATACATCACACATATTTCTATGAAAATGTTTAACAGTTACAGACAAATAAGAACAATACCAATCATATCACATATAAAACACTCCTGGACTTGTCATTGATTTACATAGTAAAGCGTACCTGTGTGCACTCCTCTCCAATTCCATTTTGCACAAGAAAGAAAACTACATACAGGATTATTCCTCTATCCATACAACAGGTTGTCATATTAAAGTAGGATCGATATTTCAACAATGGTGTCTAAGTGTTTGTGAAACTAAAACTGTGAGAAACTTGTACTGTGTCGTCATTAAAAAAGGAACTAATTCCTGCATGAACAAAGGTTGTCACATGGGAAACAATGTAACTCACAAAAATCCATAGATTCATTCTGGTCAACACTACAATATTTGGTTTTGATTTTTAGTATAAAAAGTGCTAATGTAATGCATGAAGCAGAGCAACTATTCTATGAAACAAAAAAGGCTATTTGCAGCTCTTTGATGAGCACACTATGTCCCTTTGTACTTTTTGTGTGTACGTAAGCAACTCTCACTTCCTTTTTTAGGAGTTATTCCATAAACAAAAGATGAATAGACTGATATAATCCCATGAAATGTATGTGGCTTTGCTATATTAAGAATAATGCCTGTGAATTGGAATGAATGTTCTATTTAAATAAGACTGAATTACAGTGATCCTTAATACCCAACTACAGCATGGACCTCTGTCTATTTAGACACCAACCTGCAATTCTGCCTTAAAATGTCTTTAAATGGACAGAGATGTGATGCCTTGTCTCCTAATAGGGTTCCAAGAGATTTTGGAGGCCTGGAAACACGACACTGTGGAAAGTTGTTTTCTGCATGACTATGCTTTGTTTTGGTGCTGATGTGGTCCCTTTGGTGGCTAAAACTCATAAAGTTTTCTTTAAGTGATACAATAGAGAAGCCACTTGTGAAGAACCATGTTTGAAAAGGAGGTTTATAATGTGAAGAGTTCTCACATATTGTAAAGCAAGGGTGCCTAAACTTTTTGTGCTTGTGGGCCAAAGGCCAAAAAGAAAAACTGAAATCATCTACAAAAATGAAGGCAGGTTTCAAATCCAATCTTTAAATGTATTTCAGAACAATAAACTATATTTCACTTCAAATTCACTTCAAAGTATTTATACACTGATCAGGCATAACATTATGACCACGTCCTTGTTTCTACGCTCATTGTCCATTTTATCAGCTCCACTTACTATATAGGTGCACTTTGTAGTTCTACAATTACAGACTGTAGTCCGTCTGTTTCTCTGCATACTTTGTTAGCCCCCTTTTACCTTGTTCTTCAGTGGTCAGGACTCCCATGGACCCTCACAAAGTAGGTCCTATTTGGGTGGTGGATCATTCTGAGCACTGCAGTAACACTGACGTGGTGGTGGTGTGTTAGTGTGTGTTTTGTCTTGGTACAAGTGGATCAGACACAGCAGTGCTGCTGGAGTTCTCAAACACTGTGTCCACTCACTGCCCACTCTATTAGACACTCCTACCTTGTCAGTCTACCATGTAGATGTAAAGTCAGAGACGATAGCTCATCTGCTGCTGCACAGTTTGTGTTGGTCATCCTCTAGTCTTTCATCAATGGTCACAGGACGCTGCCCACAGGACGCTGTTGGCTGGATATGTTTGGTTGGTGGACTATTCTCAGTCCAGCAGTGACACTGAGGTGTTTAAAAACTCCAGCAGCACTGCTGTGTCTGATCCACTCAGACCAGCGCAACACACACTAACACACCACCACATCAGTGTTACTGCAGTGCTGAGAATGATCCACCAACCAAAGAGTACCTGCTCTGTGAGGGTCCATGGGGGTCCTGACCACTGAAGAACAAGGTAAAAGGGGAAGTATGCAGAGAAACAGATGGACTACAGGCTGTAATTGTAGAACTACAAAGTGCACCTATATAGTAAGTGGAGCTGATAAAATGGACAATAAGGGGAAGAAACAAGGAGGTGGTCATAATGTTATACCTGATCAGTGTATACACATACACACACACACACAAGTACATATAAAATAACTCATTCAGTGAGGTGGTGAAGTTAGGGTAACTTTATGGTTGATCAAATTAAGCTTCCTCATGGGCCAATTTTGGATACTTTTCCGGGCCTGGTGTTGAGTCTAACAGTGTAATGGTATCCTATAGTAGGATATGTATGGTGCCCTGCTGGTGACGTCCTGTAGAAATAAAAATAATGGATGGCCACAGCATATTAACACATGGAAAAAAGATCCTAATGCATGGCCACGACTTAATTATCTCGTTTCCGCGTCTTACTAAGTCATAAGGTACGGAGCCCCGCTGGTGACATCCTGTATAAATAAAAATAATGCGTGGCCACGACTTAGTAAGGCATGGGAATGAGATGATTAAGTCGTGGCTACGACTTAGTAAAGCGTGGGAACGAGATCCTAATGCGTGGCCACAACTTAGTAAGCCGTGATCTCATTCCCACGCCTTACTAAGTCGTGGCCACGCATTAGGATCTCGTTCCCACGCATTAATAAGCCAGGCATTATTTTTATTAATACAGGATGTCACCAGCGGGGCTCCGTACATAAGGCGTGTTAACGAGGTAATATCTTATTAAACTGTGGTCAAGGATAAATTGTGGCCATGACTTCATTATCTCTTCCCACGCTTTACTAAGTCACGGCCACGCATCTTTATTTGTACAGGATGTCACCAACAGGGCTCTGTAGATATGGCCATTTACACTACACTATTTATTGTCACAGAAAACATTTTTTGAAACTGATTAATTGTTGAAGAATCTCAAAATTGTGAACAGGAATAAAACAAACGACCCGAAAGACTGAGCAGGGCTTACGGTTAGAGTCTGTGTTAGTCTAAGCTGTTTTCCTGTGCAAATAAGTGCAGCAAAGTTCAGTCACACACAATAAATGCACTCTCTGTATTGCTCTTTATTACTGTTAAAAAAGTGTTATTCATTAATACTGAAATGCTTGCTTGTTTGTGAGATGCTGAAAAACAAAACGTCTAAATAAACATCTATTAGGACGTTTATGTACGTTTTGTTATTTGTTGTTTGTCTTTTTAATAGGGAGTATTAGTTTTATACTTAAAAACAATGTTATGTGCAGTTTGAAAAAGATCAACACAAGAAGCAGCGACGTCAGCGTGCACGTGACGTCCGGGCTTGGCTCGCATTGCTCTGCGTGGAGATGAAGAGGACCTGACCCCGCCCACCAGGAACAGCTCAGACTGCTTAGCCTGAGAACCTAATAAACCAGGGGCCTCCGAACTTCTCCGTGAAGAGCCGCTGTGGCTGCTGGTTTTCATTCCGAGAAAAGTAGAAACGCTCATGCTGAGCCGCGTGAAGACCGAGACTCACTGATGCGCCTGTCTGGAATGAAAACCTTCAGCCACGCCGGCTTTGTGCGGATGAGACTGGACGCTGCGGCTTCCTTTAAACACAGGACCACGCGCGCCTGAGTGGGATCTTTCGCAGACATAACCACCAGTTTGATACCCGGGTGATTTTTACACCTGTTATTGCAGCAGCCGTGACGTGTGTTACAACATATACCCGCAATGTACAAACCGCGTCCAACAGCGCCCCACAAAGGTGGCTTTTATAGCGCAGGCCTTGATCAGCCTTAAAGCCGGCACCCACATCTAGACTCTTCAAGTCCACTTCGTTGTTTTCTAGTTCAGGTCTTCCCAACTCACTTCAACTCAGGGTTTATTAATTAGCCTATATCACATATATAGGGTAGAGGGTTATTCACAAAGCATAGTTTATCCAGATAACATAAGCCCAAAGTTAAACCCATCCAATAGCAAAAGAGCAAAGGTGCAATCCTATTGGACAGCCCTCATCTTCGAGCTTAAGTTACCTGGCTAACTGAAAATTAGGACCAAAGTACTGAAAATGAGTGCATCATCAAAAGAATACAGTTCATACATACAAAGCTTTACTATCTTGAAAACCACCTGCAGAAAGCACCTATTGTGTAGTAACGTTTTAAAAGCTGAAAAATCAGTTTAAGAAGCAGGTAAACAGATAGTCAAGAACCTTTATTTATCCATGTGTGCCACTCAAAGATGGGGAAGAGACATGGAACAAGATCTGACCACTTAAAAGAGGGCAATCAAAATATGAATCAATGGCATTGTAACTTCTCATTTTAACCTCTAGTTATTCTACAATGAGGCCAGCTGACAGGGAAATTAAAAGACAGCAGTAACAGTGTAAACATATATTCATATACAGAGAAGCAAAACAAATTACCTGAAGTCAAAGTAAAATATGTTGGTTAGTATGTAAAGGAACAAAGGGAGGAAGAGCCAAAAAATCTTAATTTTTTTTTCTATTACAGCTCAACATACATTTCTACACAGCATGCAATAAGGCACCTATCTAACACAATGAATAAGCCTATGCTATGAGTTGAAGCACAATTGTTATTCAAACGGAAAAAAAGGGAAAAATTCAATAACGTTCACTCCCATAAAAACAGTATTCCTTTCGTTTCCCTTTCAGATTACCCAAACCATATTAAAAAAATACATCAGTTTGTAAAAGATTTTTTTCCATACACAGAACTGTAAGTAGAAAGCGCATATTTATGGAATTTTCAAAAACTGAATCAAGAGCAAGCTATAGTTTTATTTGTTTTGATAAGTATACACAATCTATTACACTAAATTTTGATACTTTGCTGCATGTGTCCAGAATATAAGTTAACTACAGGCTATATATATATATATGGATGACTGAAGGAGTTCTATAGCAAGTTTGTATGGAAATATGCACAATTTACTCATTAGTAACAAGTGGTGGAGTACCAAAGAAAACCAGTAAAGCAACATTTTAGAGGGAACATTTAGCTCAAACTACACCAAATTTGTAGTATACAGTGATTTATCATATGCCAAATTAGGTGTGCTCAAATCAGTCCATAAATCAGACAAGACAGGTCGAAAGGAAAGAATACAAATTCTTCATCCAACAGTCTCATTGGGCCTACAAAGTTCGTTGCTGCTCATTTTAGAATCAAGCTGAACAATGCAGCACATCAAAGTGGTGAACAGGTTTGGAAGGGCATGACCGCAAGCACATCATTGAGGGTATGCTACAATTCAATTTCTCCTAGTTGGTGCATTTTCTCAAGCACTACAAGGCTGACTTAAACAGCTGCTGAAAGCAATAGAGCTTTCCAAGTCACTCAAATTTTC